TTATTATTATTATTATTATTATTATTATTATTATTATTATTATTATTATTATTATTATTATTATTATTGGTATTTAATGCTGTCATTAGGGTACCTTGATAAAATGGCTGTGTGTGTGCAGGTTAAATGTTACCGTAAGTTAAATGTGCAATATATATTTTTATTAAATTTTTCTAATACTCTTCTCCTTTCCTTTGCAGGATAATTCAGCAACCGAGTTATCAGTAAAAATTTCATTCTTCTTACATTACACCTACTTTAAAAAGAGAAAATATTTTTTTAATTCATATATAACAAAAATTAGTTATAGTGGGTTCTTTTTCATTTTAACTTACCTGCTTTATGAAAACATTTCTCAGAAATGTAAAGAAAAAAAAAAAAAAAAAAAAAAAAAGTACTATTTTGCATATGAATAGTAATGATAGTTACTTACCAATCAATTCCTTCAAAATTGCATTACTGAGTGTATTTTCTGTGTAAATTTAATACAAATCACATACATTATCTGCAACTATTCTGAATTTCTTTGTTGATAAAATCCATACATGACCTATATGGTAACTGGTTACTGTACATTAATCATGTAAACATTATGTCAGTTTTCCTCTATGTTGGGGTTCCTATACTTCCATTTGTCATAATCAAACCTGTATAATTTTACTGCAAGTAGGAAAACATTTCTAAACATATATGACTTGTTTTATTTACATTTTACAAGCTAAAAATCATTCTTGTTTTCTAGTGTTCATCTAAATCTTAGCAAGAGGGAAAAGAAAAGACTGACTCGGATCTTTTACATATATTTTGGCACCCAAGTACATGGTATTTTATAGATAGAAAAAATATTCATGGATAATAAATCATGACGATACAACTGAAACTTTTCAAACATGTTTTATGTTTCTAAAGATCCAAAAACTGTGCAACCAAAAATATTTCAATAATGCCTGTGCTACACCTCGCACTATCTACATTTCTGAATATTTTACACAAAAGATACAATTTCAACAGCTATAAAATCATAATATTTGTTAACCTTACTATATAAAGCCTTGTGACACTGCTACTGAAAAAGTTTAATCAAATGCAAGTGCTATGGAACACAATGAGAAAATGTTACCAATGGATAAATATACTTTCTTTGAAGCGCTTTCTTTATCATTGTCAACATTAGAATCATCCGAGATTTATCATAAAGATTTACACAATGCCACACCTTACCATTATTACCTTGTTTTTGTTTTTTTTGTAATATAATTATCATTTACCTAACCATTACAATTTCTTAAAACATGTTCCTGGAAATATAACAAAATAAATTATAAAGTCTCCCTGATCGAACATGCCTTACGACCTGCTTCGGTGCCCACTCTGCCTAATCCAATGATCCCACCAACAAGAAACTTAACCTACCAATATACAAAAAGCTGCCGAGTGCTACATACAGTACAGTTCTTACGAAATCCATCATAATGTACAATGAAACATGATATGCAAGAATGAAATATCAAAAAGGTTTTCAACAGGCTGCTTTTTTTTTTTTTTTCTTCTTCCCCCCCCCCCTTACAGAAAAAAGAAAAGATGAATTAAAAGTGGTTTCTCCTCTCTCCTTTTCTAAAGGACATGGAGCACAGAAAAGAGTTCACAAACACGCATTAGTAACTTGGCTACGTGTGTGACCTGCAGCAGCCATGGAGTGGAGGGGGGGAGGGGGGAGCTTTGGGGGGGGGGGGGGGGGGGAGGCTACAGCACAGACCCGGAGCCAAAAACGTAGTCAATGAAGGACAACTTTACTTATACCCTAACGAACAATATGACGAGGAGAGACTTGAAGGGAAAAATATAAATTTGGAATGATATCATGGGAAGAACAAGTTACCAATCAGTCTTTTCACTAAAAAAAAGTTCCTGGTAACTTAACTGCTTCGTCTTTGTACCATCTTTGCCTCTCTTATCATACTTTCTTCCTGATAAATAAAGTATTTTTTTTTCAGTAACTCAAAAGTCTAAAAAGCTAATAAATAAAAATGGCAATACTTCAAGTGGCAATGAACATGAAAAAAAAATATATATATATACTTTACATAAGCAACAATTAAAATACTGATAATTATAATAATTATGAATATGTAATAATCACAGAACTTATATTAGTAACTATAACAATAAGGATGCTACTGTGCTGTCACTATATAATATTGGGGCAGCACATCAGTTTTAGAAAACATATATAAAAGTAAATACAATTAAGAAATAATAATAAGACTAAAAAAAAAAAGATAAACAAATAAATCCACAACTTCAGATACGAATCATCATCTCTACACAATCATGTACTATTTAATGGTCTCAATAAGAGAGTATTGGAACAAGACCGCAAAATGGCCCGTTTTCTTTTATTTTTCTTATTTTTTGCTCTCATAGTACGTCAAAAGAGACCGAAAAAAGGGGCTTTAACCTTTTTTCGTTTTCTCTTTTTAAGCTTGAACATCACTCTACATGTTTTTTTTTTCTTCTTTTTTTCTATGTATACCATTGGAATAGTAAGTCTTATAATTAAACAAACATGAATTATTGCAAAAACTGCCACATTCTCTTTGGATTTTACCTGACTGTGCAGTTCATTCTACACACACAGAAATATAACGTATAGATATATATACTCATATATGTATACGCACAGTATGTAGGTATATATAACAAATACCTTTTTATTTTATATTTACCCTTGTGGACATCCTACATAAAATGTCCAAGACTGGACGACTATACATAGTTACTTTGTCTTCTACCAAGTACATGGTAGTTTCTTTCTTTCTTGTTTTTCTTGGTCCTCGTAAGTTCTAAAAATCTTTTATTGATTTTATTGGTTCCTTTCAACACTCGTGTAGCGATGATATAACTAACACAACAAATGACAAACTATGAATGTCCTTTTATACAATAATCAATTAGGAACAGTAACTCAAAAGTCTAAAAAGCTAATAAATAAAAATGGCAATACTTCAAGTGGCAATGAACATGAAAAAAAATATATATATATACTTTACATAAGCAACAATTAAAATACTGATAATTATAATAATTATGAATATGTAATAATCACAGAACTTATATTAGTAACTATAACAATAAGGATGCTACTGTGCTGTCACTATATAATATTGGGGCAGCACATCAGTTTTAGAAAACATATATAAAAGTAAATACAATTAAGAAATAATAATAAGACTAAAAAAAAAAAGATAAACAAATAAATCCACAACTTCAGATACGAATCATCATCTCTACACAATCATGTACTATTTAATGGTCTCAATAAGAGAGAACTGGAACAAGACCGCAAAATGGCCCGTTTTCTTTTATTTTTATTTTTGCTCTCATAGTACGTCAAAAGAGACCGAAAAAAGGGGCTTTAACCTTTTTTCGTTTTCTCTTTTTAAGCTTGAACATCACTCTACATGTTTTTTTTCTCTCTCTTTTTTTAAATAACAATAGTGTGGAGGTAATTTTGGGTGATTGATTATCTTTATAAAATCTGAAACTAATAATGCCTTCCTACTCTACACTGGCAAGCATTCCATCGCTCATGAGGTGCAAACTGCAACACAACAAGAGCTGACGAGGGAGAATCTGAGGAATATGATCATTTTCACTTTCTCTTTTTTTCTTTTTATCTTAATCTCTTGGGACCCCTAGAATCTTTCTTCACATCTGACAAATATATATGGAACATTCAAAACGCCAAACAAGATGAAACTGAATTCCAATTATTTTATACTTTTTTTTCCCAAGAATTCTGCTCAAACACACAAATTCTCTATTTCAACTACCATCAGTGAGAGTGAAAATCACAGATTTCTTAATCCAAAGAATGAAAGTTGATGAAAGACCATTCAAATCTCATATTTTTTCTCTCACTTTTAATCTATCTCTATTTTCCTTACTACCTCCCTCTCTTTCTTCATATTTTCCCCTCATGTTTCTTTACAATTACAATCTCATATTTAGCAATTCATGATTATTCTATCTCTATTCTAAGTCCTCCCTCCCCTTCTCTTCCTAGTCTTGTCCCCTTTCCTTCTCCTATTTCTTTCCGTGCCATTCCTGCCATTATATAACATTTAACTTGCTGGCATTTCCCTTGTGATGCTAAATCAGCTGCCTAACACCCATACATCTGAGGGGAGGGAAGAACCCATGGGCTAGGGAAAGGGAGGAGGGAGAAAGGAAAGATGAACATAACAAATCCCAGAGAAATTCTGCCTCTTTCCGGCCACAGACAGAGCCAGAGGCATCTTAGGGACAACTGTTCAAAAACAAACATCTGATAAACTTAAGAAACTCCCTATCATTTACATGGCGAAGTTAACAAGTGCGCGCACGATTACTTCTGCTAAGACCTTTGGACCTACGGGAGGAAATCGGAACCCTAGATTGCGTCCGCTGGACTCTGGAACTCGGCGAGCGCCTTGAGGGCTGAGACTTGCTTCTTCTGGCTTCCCTTGCGCACCTTGGCCCGCACGTCCTCTGCCTTCTCGCGTCTCACTAGCGGCTTCTTCTCGGGAGCTTTCATCTTCCACACCACAATAGGCGACTGCAAAGGGACAGGTTTTAATTTTTTTTCTCCTTGCACGTTATTTGTTACTAATTGCGAGATCCATGAAGGTGATGGAAACAATGTTTAATGATGATGAGAAGTTGTTAACATGTAAAAAATAAGTGAAAAACACTAAAATTGTGTTTTCGGAATCAGTGATAAAAAGAATAAATATGAATGATCAACAATAAACTCTTACAGATGGCACAACATCAGAATATAAAAATAAGCATGCTGAAATATGCAAGAACATACATCTATCATATCCATCAAGTCTCATAATCTAAAGAACTGGAATAATCTTAACTATGGAAGATCGTTCAAAATAACATCCACAGCGCAGGCAATAACTACCAACTCCTAAAAACATATCGTTGAATATAACCAAATTCTACATCAC